CTCAAAAGCCAAGGGAGACGGGGAAGGCGTGATTGGTTCATCATATCAAACATCGGTTGGGCCCTAGTTGTTTTAGCTGATAACATGGAGTGAGGGAATTGAACTAACTCTCTCAGAAGTTGTGTTTAAAACTATTATCAGACAGGATTGTGTGTGAACTGTAGTGTTCTGTGTGCTTAAAATAAGATAGTTTAGACATATCCATTTACTGAATTCTTGTGTTTATGTGTGTTAGAGCTTCGTCACAGCAGTCACAGACTATTATTGTAACCAGAAAACTAAAGCAGGCATTGATGAGCTCCATCTACATATCCCATAAAAAGTGGCAAACAAAGGTGTAAACGTTTTTATAAGCCGGTTGTTGTAACCACGTGTCTGATTTGAGGGGGTGCTGCAGCACCTTCAACACCCCTACGTCCCACGTCCTTGAATCAAGCACACATTTCCCCAATGCCTTCAACGAGGGATGAATCCTTGCACAACTGTCACACCCTGACTTCACTTTATTTGCATCCTACATAGCACATGCTTTTTTGCATTGATCTCTTCAGGAAATCTGAATTTAAATAGGCAAAATGAAGTATGGCTCACTGTTGAACAGGTGGCAGCAGAAATAAAGAAGAAATGTACAAATGCAGTTTCTTCCCTCACTAAGCATTGAATAAACACCTAAAAAATAAATATTCTTAATCAAAACATAAAGTGTTTTTTTTACATTAAAAAGTCCTTTTTTCCTTCAGAGGGCTCAGAGTAATCAATAAAATGGGAATGGAGCTCAGCGTAAGTTCAGCAGGAAGACTGTTTTTATTCTCCCACACGTTGATTCGTTTTCCTTCATTCAACATCATTGCTCCATCTCCCTGCTCTGGTGATCAGCTGATTGAGGGTGTTTACTCTTTAAGTAATAAAACAACCAGATTCTGCCGCAACCTCTCTGAACCAATCATCCTGCTGCTGTGAACATTTTAAAACCAGTTCTTTCTCTCCCACAGTCTTTCTCATTTCAGTGCGATTGCTGAAACCCCAGAGTTCAGATACAGCCTCAGAAACCCACTCAAAGTACTCAAGGTATCAAAGTATTGCAGCAAAATAATTTCAGTCAAACAGACCAGCACTGCACCCCAATTTTGAGACATCAACTTATTTTTGTTACTTGTTTGCAGTCAGGCAAAGGTACGGACCAAAACACAGAACTTAAATAGAAACAGCGACAATTGCAAATGCTCATCATGCAATTTATCTCTAGGATAGATAGTTATGATGGACAATTGGACAAAACTTTCTTTGAACAACCCCTGGAAATTTTGTTTGAAATTCATGCGGTCAGCAAGAATTTCAAACAAAAAAAAAACCTTCATCACCTGCCATCAATTTGCAGGGCATTCGTTCTTGTCTTCATTTTCCTCTTCCTCTTGTTTTCTGGGTTGAATACTCCACTGCAGTTTTACGTTAGCCAGGTCCTTCTCAGACATCACTTCACCTAGCTGTGAACAAAGTTAGTGATTTGAGAATCTACTTTCATAAAGCACAGCATAATACAATCTTGTTTTTCCGACCAAAAGTGACCATATGCAGGGTGGATGTCATAGACTGTAAATATTAAAATATGACGCCTGAGGGACGTCACCCATCTGTTACTGCAAGGGGTGTTGGAAGCTCATCGATGGCAGTCGGCGTGCAGGAAATGCTGTCTCAACCTAACTTTCACTCAACCTAACGACAGGCTGAGAGCTGAAGCTGAGGCGGGTTTTAAGCCCCTTGACTAACCATTGCACCACACCCACTTGTCAATCAGGTCAGCTTCTCCCCTTATTGTGAATAACTCTTATCCTTCATGAAATCAAAACTGATGAGTTATAAACAAAGTCTTCCCCCGTAAGGTTTGTGCTGATCGAGACATTTTGTTACTCGATACTCGACTATGTACAGGATTTTTCACTTCTACATCGGCTTAACTTTTCCAACACTGGAGGTTGCTGCTCGGTAGATGCACAATGTTACGTCTGTATCCTCTTTAACAAGTAACCGTGGTTGAGCATATCCTGCCTCATTATGAATTTGTCTATAAATGGGACCATAGTTTGCAAGAATGTACATTATGCTTCATTAAACACGTTTGTTTTCTTCTTTTAAAGGATCAAGTCCACATTATTTCACACTTGAAGTTCACTTCGGCTTCCACACTTACAGAAAACTCCAAGAGGAGCTGTATATGTGAACGCAAATAGCCAAATTTTTCGCTCGGACTTCACCCGGAGTTTCTCCTTCCAGACCCTGAATTCTGAATATTCTGCATTCTCACACTTGCTCACCCCAACTTAATGCAGAAAATTTAGCAGGGGGCTGACAGAAAGAAAATGCGGGTATTGTTTGCTTTCAGACATGCAGCTCACTCAAAAAACTTCAGGACGTTTTCAGGAGTTTTGTGCATGTGTGAAAGCACCGACAGTTTGGGAGGGATAGCCTCTCTAATATGACGACACCGATTATGAGCTTCTTATGGTCTCTTCAGAAACCAATACGTGACATCACAGAGACTATTACCAAGTTTAATACAGTCTGTCTGTAAAAACATTGTTCTGATGATTTCAAACATCATGAAGTCACATAAGCCATTCTCTCTCGTATTTGTTTCTTCCAAATATTGCCAGTTACTTTTAAAATACACCAGGAAGTGCAATTTCAGCGCTGAAAATGTAGGCTACATAAATGAAGCACCTTCTGGAGACGCAAATGATTTCTACAAGTATTCACATCTACAGTTTTGCTTTTATCACAGAGACTTTGAGTGGAAAGCAGCTTTGTGGGCGGAGTTTACCTTTTGTAGGAGCTGGGTGTTTAAAGCGGGATTGGAGAGGTCAACATTAGTCTTAATCTTCATCTTCAACTTGTAGATTTTCTTTTTGGGGACTGGTCCGTCCGAGAAACATGCAAACAAACCAACAAAATAATATTTTTGACTGGCAAGATAGACAACAGAAATGTGTTAATGAAAATAATTTATTTTGTCACCTAGTTGGCACCAGAAGGAATGCATCTTTGTACAGTCATCGTCCCCCCATGTGTAATCCAGATTAAGGGACACACAGTACTGGACAGACGCGTAGTTATTTGGCTCTGCGTGTCCCCAGTTTTTGAAGGAGCTGTTTCTGTTGTCGGACCACCTCCATGGTTCTCGGTACATCCCAATCCAAACGTTATGAGGACCTTTTACTGTCCACAGATCTCGAGCTTCCAGTTCAGTCAGCATCATAGCCAGGTCTGTGTGGTGATTTCTGCAGTATTCCCGGGCATCCGTCCAATTCATTGCTTTTTGAATTAAGACAAATGTTCTCTGGCCTGGAGGATTTGCAGCTACATAAAAGATAAAGGATGGCAAATGTGAGAAGATGGCAGTGTTTGTAAAAAATCAATTCAGATCTGTACAGATAAGTGGAAATGGTTAAGGGTTTGGGTGACCTTGGTCACAAAAACATTGGCAGCATTTGGAAACATTGCCTAAGTACTGCTGAAATGTGCTATATAAATAAACTGGCCTGCCTTGCATTAGTAAGTATTTAAGGATTGTAAGGATACACTTTATTGTCCCCTGATGTTAATTGGTCTTGGACAACAGTGCCACACAAAATTGGACAATGTAGTTGTCCAAGTTAGACAATTTCCAAGACTGGAGTTCCCTTGCATTTTCTGGTAATGAAAAACAAGAAACTGCTCAATATTGGGCGCCAAGGACTTTTTTGTTGTTTTTTGTATTCTTGTTGTTTTGGTCGAAAAAAGAGATATAGTTTGATTTCTACAGAGATTTATTTAAAGGTCCAATATGTAAGATATCTACTGAAGAATTGAATGATAAAATGACCTTACTATATGATCAGACATTAAGGACACATGCTATGTTGAAGTGCTAGCTTCTCTGACAACAATGCAGCAGCCAGTATGTCCTCCTTCTAACTTTAGATTCTGCTCCTGAATGCTCTGGATTTGTTTGGACCAGAGAAGTAGGAGGTTTTCAGGTACCCCCATACAGCCATTATAGAGGCCTCTCAGGTTGCCAGGCAAACGGTAAACCGACAGGTATTGCATCGCTGAAGAAGCAAGCGAACTGGTTCAGATATAAGTGATTCTACCCAACCTTTTTTACATACAAGCTGCACAATCAGAAACATGACGAATCTATGATAAATATTGGAGAAGAAGAGATAAAGGAGATGAAAGTGAAGCTTCAGTGTACGCAACATGACAACCTGCATGCATATTGACTCTAGGGAGGAGGCAGCACTCTTCTATGTTTTGAATTCGGACTGCAGTACCAGTTTTAAATGCTAGGTGTCAGATTTACATATTGCTCCTTTAACATTAGCAGTTTGTTATAATGGGCGCAAAACATGGAGGGAAGAAAGTCTCCATAAACATTTTAAACATAAATTCATTTGATAACGTGTTCAGTGTGCCTGGTGTCAGTCTCCACCTGTCATTCGTACTGGTTAACTTCTCTGTAAGTACATAAACTTCCTGGTTAGTCTTTAAAATTTTGCCAGTCAGGTGATCTGAGGCTTCTCTCTCTTTTGTTTTGTCTCAAGTTTCCCACAGGGAGAATCTCTCGAGGACCCAGACCCTCCCACTTTCAGTGGCCGTGAATTGGTTTTGTTCTTACGTCATCTTCCTCTAATTTGATTAGACAACTGACGCTGTCTGTCATGCTCACATTGTTTTCTATTAACTTTATTAACACACTACTAATTCCCCCCTGGAGAATAATGCACCAGGCATCACTGGTATGAAAGTTAAAAACTCTGGTACAGTGACATAAAAAGCTGACCTTCATTCAGACAGACAGATATGACAACTGTAGACAGATGTTGAATGTTACTTTTGATTCTTTCAGTCTTTTCTTTTGTTTATGATACTTTTCTCATAGATTATTTTAAGTGTGGCTGCTTCATGAGGAACATGTGCGTTATGAATTGCAGTCTGTTTTTCAGTTGCTAAATGTATCTTACCGTTGTAACAAACAAAATCAAATTCCCGGTTGCAGTCTTCATCATCCAACGATGTATCTGAATTCATTACCACACAGTTCTCTTGTCCATAAAGGCTATTTGGCTCAGATTGTCTCCAGTTGTGGTTATCTCTTTCAGTGAATTCACCAGTACTTGACCATCTCCAGGAGTTTCTTTCGTTCCCACCAATTCCCTTCCAGGACAATGGGTCATCATGGAGCCCAATCCATGTGATTGAGGGTTCTTTTCCTTTGAGCCTGTTATTGTCCGCCATGCTTTCAATGGTAGCCAGGTCGGTGTATTTCTCTCTGCAGTACTGTTGAGCGTCGGTCCAGTTCAGCTTTAAGTCGATGTAGTGGAATTCACGGAGGGCATCCAGGATGGGTGTGCAAAATCCTGGGGAATATGCTAAAGAGAATATTTGGCTGTTAAACATTATAATGCCTGTAACTTTTGATCAGAAATATGTGTAAATGCTTTTTTCTTTAAGGCTCAGCTATAATATTGATTAATATTAATATTGATCATTTGGACCTAAAGAAGCTAATGAGAACATCGACATAAACATTGACTATGTCCAATAGATTTTTCTAATGTGGCACGCGCCGGAGATGGACGGCAGCACACGCTGTGTGAACACAATGATTGACTAGAGTGGCAGCTAAGTACGGCGTAGTGCGCGGCGCTGACGGCAAAGTCTTTGACTGATTAGACTTTTATTTCACATTTTGCGTTGGAGTTTTTTTTATAGTACAAGCCACAATTTACATGAATACAGGACGAAAAAAGAAAATGATGTCCACTGGGGGCGCCGAAATCAACACAAAAACAAAGGTCCTTAAAGGAGCTTTAAGTTTTATATTTGATACATTGATTAAAAAATATAAGAAACCCAAAATAACCAGTCACTGACGGTTAAATTTAGTCACTTGAACATTTTAAACACACACTGCACACAAAGTTCGGACGGCTAAATATATATTTTTTTGTCTCGATTTTGTGGTTAGTGTGTCGATGTTGTCTGGAGGTGTGGAACTGCGCCCACTCAGGGCATCAAAAAGGTTGCACTTGGGTGTGTGGATACAGGAGAACATTTTGAATATTTGCAGAGGAGATACCCACACAGTAATTCAACCATCATGTCACATGAAAAGTGAGATGAAAGATATTTTTTGTACATTGTGCAATGACAAACACATTTTGTTCGATTCTTTTCTATGCACTGATTAGATTAAAGATTTTACTGACACTGGGCTGGCCGCTACTGGGCTGGTTGAGGGGTTAGGTGCCTTGCTCAAGGGCACCACGGCAGTGCTCAGGAAGTGGACTCCTCTACGGCTACTAGATCAATTTTCCAGCTTTAGTGTCCTCCTCTGGCATTTTAAAAAAGAACATGATGGTCTACCATCAGCTCTGTGTTACTCTTTTGAATTATTTAAATAAAGATTAGTGACGGACACATCGCTCATCAAAACTGGAAACCAAAATCACATCAACACAGAAAGATTTGAAGTTGAAACTCTTACCAAAGAAGGATAGAAGCAAGGGCAATCTGTAATCCATTGCTGATTTCTCTGAAAAAAATAAAATAATAATTGAGAAACAAATCTGAGTCTATCTTACAATGACATCATTAAAAACACTAAATCAAAAAAAATCCCACTTAATAAAATAACTTAACCAAATACTTCATAATCATTATACAAGTGAATGCATTTGTATGGAAGCCCTAAAAGGAAAAGCTGTCGTCCTGTGATAATGAGATCATTTCAGCTGTTTACTCAAGTTCTCGAGAAATTCACTTTATATCACAGGAAATCCAGCATTATTATGCCGAGACAAAGACACTAACAAGCCAAGGTTTCAAGAAAACAACAACAAGTTCACTCACTATCACGGGAAACAGAGTTAAATAACATGAGGCGATGCATGGCCACTTACGGCTTTTGAACATTTGTGTTTAAAAAAAGGCATTTTTAAAAGATATGTGAAGATGATGCCTTTTAGAAACTTAAAACTAAAATACAGTAAAGGCCTTTGCACACTGAGTCCACTGCGTCCATTGTTCTATTATTGAGAAAATTCAAAGTATGAGACTAAATGTCTCGTATTCATCACGCAGAGTGATCAAGCAGTGAAGATGATTTAGAATTTTAATAGTATAGAGGTATGGAAAGAGGTCACTCATAATCATATGCCTCCTAATCTATCGTCAAAGGTAATGATATGTTTATAATAGATTTACTTACATGTCCAGTGTGAATGAAATCAAGCATTTGCACTCAGAAAATCAACCAAACTTGGAATGGCTCGTGTTTGCGAGGAGATGTCGGTCACCTCTCTCAGAGGATCCAGTTTTGTTCACAAGTTTGGTTATAGAATATTTCAATATCCAAATGAGCAACCTAACGAAGGTCACCTTGTCCTGGATGTAAACAAATGTAGGCCAACCTCTGCTCTTTGCTGTGCTGTGCTTGTCGACTGTGAATACATGGAAATAGAAACAGTGATGACACCCACTGGTTTGGTGACTTTGTTGAAACCTGAAGTTTGCCATGTTGCTGTCGCCATATTGGTTTTTAATTGGTTTTATGTTTTGCTTTTGTAATCCTCTTTTATAAAATGTGAAAATGTTTTCAAAAATGTAAATTTGCATTAAGCTTTTCAAAAGTTTTTCACACTTTGTAAGTATTTTTTGCACTTCCCAGCCAACGTAATTTTGTCTATAAAATCAACCAAAAAGTCTGTAAAGATAAACATCTACTTACAGTTCAACCAACAGTGATGGATTTGAAATTCATTATTTCTCCCTAAAACCAATATGGCGGCAGCAAAATGCCAAACTTTAGGTTTCAGCAAACCAATGGGTGCCATTATTGTTTCTATTTCCATGTATTCATAGTTGGCAAGCACAGCACAGCAAAGAGCAGAGGTTGTCCTACAACCTTTGTTAGGTTGCTCATTTGGATATTGAAATATTCTATAACCAAACCATGGAACAAAACTGGATTCTCTGAGAGAGGTGACCATTTCTTCCTCGTAAACATGAGCCATCCAAATTTGGTTGATTTTCTGCGTGCAAATGCTTAATTTCATTCACAGTGGACATGTAAGTAAATCTTCTATAAACATATCATTACCTTTGACGATAGATTAGGAGGCGTATGGTTATGAGTGACCTCTTTCCATACCTCTATACTATTAAAATTCTAAATCATCTTCACTTCTTGATCACTCTGCGTGATGAATACGAGACATTTGGTCTCATACTTTGAATTTTCTCAATAATTGAAAAATGGACGCAGTGGACTCAGTGTGCAAAGGCCTTTACTGTATTTTAGTTTTAAGTTTCAAAAAGGCATCATCTTCACATATCTTTTAAAAATGCCTTTTTTAAACCCAAATGTTCAAAAGCGCTAAGCGGCCATGCATCGCTTCATGTTATTTAACTCTGTTTCCCGTGATAGTGAGTGAACTTGTTGTTGTTTTCTTGAAACCTTGGCTTGTTAGTGTCTTTGTCTCGGCATAATAATGCTGGATTTCCTGTGATATACAGTGATTTTTAATGATGTCATTGTAAGATAGACTCAGATCTGTTTCTCAATTATTATTTTATTTTTTTCAGAGAAATCTGCAATGGATTACAGATTGCCCTTGCTTCTATCCTTCTTTGGTAAGAGTTCCAACTTCAAATCTTTCTGTGTTGATGTGATTTTGGTTTCCAGTTTTGATGAGCGATGTGTCAGCAGTAATCTTTATCTAAATAATTCAAAAGAGTAACACAGAGCTGATGGTGGACTTTAGACCATCATGTTCTTTTTATTTTATGTGGCTGGAAAATGCCAGAGGAGGCTAAATGATCACTACAAAGCAGAGAGAAAGTTTCAACGAGCTGTGCTTTAAATAGTTATGTTTTTTTAGTTTAGATAGAATGAGTAGATGGGGTGACAGTAGATCGGTCTGTAGGGACTTGGGTCAGGAACCAGAAGGTTGCTGTTTCAAGTCCTGGTGGGGACGAAATCTGGAAATTAATCTGTGTATTTTAAATGTTTACGTGACTAGATTTCACTGTTAGTGACTGGTTATTTTGGGTTTCTTTCGCCCACTCTTCTGTTATATTTTTTAATCAATGTATCAATGATAAAACTTAAAGCTCCTTTAAGGACCTTTGTGTGTGTGTTGAATTCGGTGCCCCCAGTGGACAAAATAGTGATTCTTTTGTCTTTGCTCATTTCGTCCTGTATTCGTGTAAATTGTGTTTTTTACTATAAAAAGCTTCCACTATAGCTTCTTTAGGTCCCAATGAGGCATCAATATTATTATTACACATTTTTCTGATCAAAAGTTACAGGCATTATAATGTTTAACAGCCAATTATTCTCTTTAGCATATTCCCCAGGATTTTGCACACCCATCCTGTATGCCCTCCGTGAATTCCACTACATTAACTTAAAGATGAACTGGACCGACGCTCAACAGTACTGCAGAGAGAAATACACTGACCTGGCTACCATTGAAAGCATGGCGGACAATAACAGGCTCAAAGGAATAGAATCCCTCATTCACATGGATTGGGCTCCATGATGACCCATTGTCCTGGAAGGGAATTGGTGGCAACGAAAGAAACTCCTGGAGATGGTCAAGTACTGGTGAATTCACTGAAAGAGATAAACACAATTGGAAAAAATATCAGCCAAATAGCCTTTATGGACAACAGAACTGTGTGGTAAAGAATTCAAATAATTCATTGGGGGATGAAGACTGCAACCGGGAATTTTATTTTGTTTGTTACAACGGTAAGATACATTTAGCAACTGAAAAACAGACTGCAATTCATAACACACATGTTCCTCATGAAGTAGCCACACTTAAAATAATCTATGAGAAAAGTATCATAAACAAAAGAAAAGACTGAAAGAATCAAAAAACATTCAACATCTGTCTACAGTTGTCATATCTGTACACATGTTCACTGACCTTTCACTTTTTTTTTTCCGGGAAAATAAAAAGTACAATGAATGCGGCTGGAGGAAATCTTCAAATCTACTTTAATTCAGTCAATCTCACATGGAATTCAAATGGGTTCCCCTGTAATTAGTATTATTGATTAATAAAAAACATAATGTATAGTAACATATATTAAATTTATACATTTTCAGTTTTTCTGTCATCCATTGTGCAGAATGTCATCCCTCCCTTTCTTCCTCTGGCCTTTATATCCACATGAAAAAGCCTACATATGGTCTGAAATGAACGTTTACTTGCAACACAATAAAAAAGGAAATTATTTTAGCAAAAAGCTGTGTTGTTGTGTTTTGAATGTTTGGGTCGCCAGAGTGTTGTGAAGTCAAAGTGGGGTCACGAGCCGAAAAAAGCTTGGGAACTTCCAGAATTTTATCAGAGCTACGGACTTAACGATCCTGACGGTCTTCAGTT